CGAGAGTTTTATTTTAGAAGAATTGACGCACACAATTGTGCAAATAACTCTCTGTTCGTATGATAGAAGCGATTTTGATGTAGCATGCAAATGCAACGGCAACCAATTTTTGCATGAACGAAATGAAGCAGCTCTGAAAAGTTCTAATCTCACAGTGTTAGCGTACAAATTATGTAGTTTCCACAGAATAAATTTTATGAAAACGTAATTTCTGGAGTATACTGCTATATAGCACGTTCTCTAGGTAGTACTTGAGTATACTGCTATATTGTTATATAGCATGTTCTCGTATCTGTTTGATCGTAACCTATCATGAGGTCACATAAGTAATTTTACTGACGAAACTTCGGGAAAATATTATTGAACGCTAAGAAAACCTCGGGAAAGTGGTAGTAATGCTTGCATGCAGAACTGTTTTGCCAACGTTTTTAAAAAAAATTAATGACTGACAGAAGTGGAACTCACGGACTTATTCTTATGAATCTAAACTAGACAAGTCAACTTTCATGAAGCGTTTATTGCTTTCATGTTCATTTTTAGGAATGCTGCTTGTCGCTGATACATTCAGATCGAAATTTGCTAAGCATTCAAAGATTCGGCAACAATGGATCAATTTTGACGTTCGCTGGCCTGGCAGTGGAGCGATTGAGGTCTACGTTAAGCGCAAAAAACTATGAAAACAAACGCAGCTGTTTTGGGCCCACTATTGCGATTTTATGCGTAGGTTTTTCTGACTTTTTCCTGATTCTTGACGAAAAAACGCCGTGATTTGACTGCGTTTTTTTGAATGTCCCGTTTGCACTTGAAAATAACCATACGGTCTTCTTTTTGAGCTGAAATTACGAAGTGGCCCACCTGCTTGAAACTTAGGCTTCCATAGCAGTAAAAATCGCAATGTTTTCAGCTGGTCATAGATATAGCCCTAAGTTCTCTGCCTTTCATATCGGCGGTGAGCAACACTCGAACTGCCACTGTTGTGAGTAACATTATTTAGATTCACTTTTTGCTGAAATTCATTGCTGTATACGATCGTTATCAATATTAGGTACCATATGACTCTATGGTGAAGGTTGCTGTTGTTGTATAATATCCTAACGCTAGCATAATAGTGTTCAAAGCTGGAAAGTTTGAAGTGGATTAAGCTAACAATAAGCTCAGGCTTGCCCTCAAGCAGTACCATTGCAGTACTTAACCCCAGTTTCAAGTTTGCAATTCTGCATCAGCTCGAGATATGAAAAATATCGAAACGCGTTGAGACAATGAGAATAATTATGATTAATCGTAAAATTTCATTGCAAGAAGCCTAATTTTATAATAATTTTTGAGATGTTAACATATTTGCTGCTCATTTTCTTGCTTCAGCAGTCCGAAATAAATTCGAATCATATTCCAGGTACTTTTCACATTAGCCGCGATTGAACTCTTAGCTATACTGACATTATCGCTTTCATATGTATTCAATGTGCTGTGGAAGAGAAATGGCATGCATTTTCTGGCAACTCTATCCCAAAAATATCAGGTTTGTAATCGCTAACATCAGAACCATTGATGAGATCTTGCTGCTTCCGAAACTGATGTATCTGATGCTCTTAATGCTGACTAATCTCGAATATACAACTGCTGAAAACCACTAGCGTTGTGTACGTTACGGTAGTAGTATCACAAATATCATCTGAAACATCCGATGGGTTTTCATCGGTCAGTCAATTGATGGTCGCTTGGTTACGCTGGTTCGTTACGATTCAGGAATTTCAACGGAATGATTGTGCTAACAAAAGAGTACGCTCTGCGTCATTGTTGAAAAAAATAAAGACGATTGGCTTGACATTCCACTGAGCCATTGAATTGCGTCAATCAGCGTTAACCTATTCGCGAGAGTTATTGCGTGTAATAAATCATCGAAAGCAATTAGTCGGACACTGCAATCTATTGTTAGTCACAAGAGTGTATAAAGTACGATTCAAACGACATAAAAGAGCTTAATTCATTAAACCACTAGCATGTGGCTAGATCTTGAACTAATAATAATCGGAAACAAATTATCAGTTCATGTCGGATATCGCATCTGTCCATTTCATTCAAGCTAACAGATGTAAGATATGATAAGCTCACAATCCATCACGATTGATTCAAATGTTTTTGTCAACGAAGTTGATTACATTAGAAAGGTGAAATTGCATCGCTTTNTTAATGGCATTTTTATGACGCATTACTGCTATCATTATGATTATTGGAATCGTTGAAAGGCTTGATTTTTGATTTTATGCAAACCACATTTCATTTATACCTCATCCATTGTCTTGTTTTATCAAATTGCGGTATGGTGAGTGAGTGAAAATCGCATTTTTAATGCTCTCTATCGATCCGAAACCTAAAATCAATTTCAGGTTGACGAAAATATCCGATGCATTCTGCTATTAATTCCAATGGCTATTGCACATGCGGTGTGCAATTTGAGCACATGCATTCTGCTACCAGTCTCTTGGATTATTTTCGCGAAGAATCGTTTACCGAATCATTATTTCGACTTTATACCGCTATATTATGTGCTCTTACCCTGTGTACATTTTGCTCTTTTGAAGTTTCAAAAGTTCGTCACAATATTCATTACGATCACAATTTGTTTCGTTATTTATGAATACATCAAGTTGTTGAATGAATTGATTATCAGTTCATTTCTTTAATTATACATTCAATTTTTAGGAAGTGGCAAAAGCAACGCACCCGAGTGATAGCTGTGGCAGCAAGTGATTCGAATAAGAGGCATTTTGAGATTTTGGGACAACTTTTCGAGAATAGCATCAATCGAGTCAAACCCGCACACTAAGAACAAAAATAATCAATCATGAGAAACTGAACGGCTGCTGACGGGTTCGAGTTCACTGAGTTAATATATTAATTCTTATG